GACCCATTGTAAATGTTTGGTCCCAATTTGGAAAATTGGGCCATAGATGGGCCATATTTTGGGCCTTGACGATTATGATATATTGGACCATCAAAATTGTTGGGTATTATGTGTTGCGTCATTGCGCTTATTAGTTAAATATTTGTATTATCGAGTTGGGTTTGTCCACTCGTTATTAATTCTAGAGTTAGAGTATTTAAGGTGCATGCATGCATCGTATTTTGGTAACTCTTATCTTTTACTTTGTAACCCTAATCACGCCTCTACAGTAGCAATTCCTCATAGAGTTCTTCTGAGGCGTGACTTTTAATCATACGACACTTTGTTGATTCATTCTGTGTTCTTACTTCACTTCGTGTTCATATTATACTTGTTCAGAATCTATTCGATCTATAAGGATTTTAGTCTTATCAATTGGTATCAGAGCAGGAGACTGTGTAAATCATACGCATCTCTTCTGTTTGAAGAAATCATTAGGGTTTCCGCTATTATCGAATCTGTTGGAGCCGTCATTACTTTGTTGACGACACTCCGGGATCTTGATATTACCCTAATACGATCTTACAAGTCTGATTCTTAACAGGTATGAAAATCAAGTCAACATGTCGCACGACGATTCACAAACCAATCTAATCAACATCTCAAATAGCAAAGGATCAACCACAAGGATTCCGATTATATATCCTCATGAGTATGAAGTATGGGCTCTTCATTTTAAAGACTATGTTCTTGGCTCAAAAGATAATGTGTATTTGATCTGGGAAGCTATCACTGTGGGTCCTTTTGTTCACACTGAAACCAAAAGAACCATTAAAACTCAGAAGGAATATAACCAATTAGTGATTGATATGAACGAGGTTCCTCAGGATGAGAAAGACAAACTAATCGGCAATATTAAAGCAATTTGGGTTATCAGGTTTGCTCTACAGTCCGATACATTCCGCTTGGTGAGTTCTTGTGACAATGCGAAAGACATTTGGGACAGACTTAAAGAGCTTTATTCTACAGATGATGATCTCAAACATTCTACCCAAACACTCCTGCTTTCGGAGTTTGGTGACTTCAAACAAAAGCCACAAGAGTTATTCATTGGCCAAACTTGTTGGAATTCTTAAGTCACATGAAAGTGTAGTGACGAAAGAAACGAAAGTTGTGTCCGGTATAGGGTCCTTAGCTCTCATTTCAAAGGGCAAGGGTGTTGCAGAGGAAGACCCAGAGACTGATCTCTCTGATAGTGATTTGACGAGCGAAGAATATGCTTTGATGTTTTCAAACCCCAAGCGGTTTGCAAGAAAGAAATTCCATACTACAAAGAATCGAAACTGGCAGGTAAGTTACATCTCCGAGAAAGCGAAAGAGGAGAACAAAAGCACTCCTCAAAAGGACGAACAGAAGAAGGAAAGCAAGCTGGTTGGTGACTCAGGCTATGACTGTAACTATTGTCATGGCAAAAATCATTTGGCTAAGGAATGTATGCTGAGGAGGCTGAATGAGAAGAAAGAAGGAGAGGGTGATGAGGCTTACTACTTGCGTAAGCTGGAAGAGATCAAGAAGAAGAACTCTACTGATAACTCAATGCCTGTTTTAATTGTGCAGGAAAATACAGCTGAGAATAAGTTTGGAGGAGTAGAGATCTGGTCTACTGGTTCGGAGGATGAGGAAGTTCGCAAGCCCACACATGGCAGGGCATTTGTTGTGAAAGAAGATGGATCAGAGTTCGCTGGAAGGTTTCTGATGGTGACCAACGACGTGTCACAGTTGAGAGGCTACAAAACTGATGGTGGATATGAGGAAACGAAAGAGAGAAGAGAAGATAAGTGCTTTGCAGCAAAACCAGTCTGTGAGCAGATCAATGAATGTGATCAAATGATCAAGAAGGTAAACTCCATTCTCGAATCTCTTAAAATACCCATATATAACTATGAAACAGAATTAAATGATCTAAAATTTACCTTTTCTAGTATTAGTGGTAGCTTAAAACAAACTCGTCTGATGAATTCTAACCTAACTGATCAAATCAGCAGGATATCATCCAAGAGTGAGGAGCGAAGGCTTTGGATAGAAAATAAAGAGTCAGAGATGTCTAGATTTAATGACGAACATATTTATTTGCAGCGTGATAATTTAATGCTTTTGAAACAAAGGAATATTTTTGTTTAATTGCTAAACGACTTTATACTAATATTACTCAGTTGCATTTAGATTGTGAAATTAGGAAAAAGATTCACAAAATGATCTTGCCTTTCCTTGAATTAAAGGAAGAAGAGATTGATATTGATTGTTACAAGTGTGAATCTATCGTCTCTTCAGATGAAACCTCTGATGCTTATAGAATTGGTCTGGATAAAACTGAATCCTTCATTAAGTCCAAAGACCACAAGGACATGCTGAAAACTTAATTGATGAAAATGTCAGGTTGAAAATAAAGACTGAAACCGTATAGAAATTTGACTCATTGAGTTCTAAGTTGAGTTCAGAAAACAAAATCAATATTGAAAGTACATCTGAATTTGATGAGGACAGTGACATGAGTGAAATATCTGTAGAGGATGAGGTTGACTGTTCTGAATTTGTTAAGAACGAACCTGAACCTGTAAAAGTCCTTATCTTTGACCTAAATTTGACTTGTGTCACAATATGTTGTTCTAGCTTACTTTTATGTTTAAAGTTCCCCATGTATGCTAGATAGGATTATGAACCTTGGAAAATCAATTTTGCATGTATCTTAGTCAAACATATATCCAAGGTTTCTAGGGTTGTATGTACACCTTAGGAGTGTTAGAATGCTCAAAACCCAACAGGTCTTGTATTTCAAAAGGCAAAAGGTGCTCAGATTATTTAATTGGAATATGAAGCGTTAGGGAAAAATATGAAGAGGCGGAGGAATGGATAAGATTTTAAACCACAAGGTGCGTGAATTTGAAACGGTTCCTATCATCACGCTGCGTGACGCCTTTTTCGAAGTAACAGTTGTCACATCGCGCTTTTTCAGGCGTCTTTTCAGAGAAAATCACGCAAACGTCATCAAAGATCTTTCTCTATCCTGGTAAATCGTATAAAGGGCTTTCACAAATCCCTTATTTCTCTTTACCACTCTCAATACTCTCAATAAACCTAAAGGCGATTTCTCTTACTGTTCATCTTCTTCTTCACGAACCTGCAACAACGGCCGATTCATCGTCTATTCAAGAACACACTGCTCAGTCCTCTTTCCTCACCGTCAAGCCCAACCAAAACATGATCCTCGACTTGGGTCCATTCAAATATGACGCGTTTATGCTTCCCATTGTCGAGTGCTTGAAGTGCTCACCTTTGGTTATTGCCTTAACCCAGGTTGAATGTGTTCCAATGTCACTGTTGTCGAAGGCCTTCTCATCTGCTAAGTATGCCAAGGAGGAGGAAAAGATCATCTTTGAAGTTCTTGGTAAGAAACACTCGGTCTCAAAGTCTAGGTTTTTCTCTCTTCTAGGGCTAAACTATGTCGATTAATTGGTGAATCTGGAGTCTATTTCTACTGCCCAGATCTTCGACATGTTCTACCAAATGGGGTATACTGATCTTTTCACCACTATCACCAAGTCCAAGAAGTCATGTCTTCCACCCCAATGGAATGGTCTATTTACTCTTCTCTTCAAGGATTTCTATGAAAGAGTAACTAGATCCGACTGTGCTAGCAAATCATTCATGACAATCCTCTATGGCCTCTACCATGGGATTAACCTTGATTATGGGTATTATGGGTCCGTTCTTTGGGCTCAATTGGTGCAGAGTATGAATTCTTCGTCTCGACACAACGAGATCTCTTGCGCACGTTTCTGGACGATTGTGGTGCAGCGGGCAATGGAAAAGTTCAATGTTTCGGTGATGGCAGACTCATTAATGTCGTCGATTGCCACCTTCCATACTACGAAGATTATTATTGCTGATAATTCGAAGTTTTTATTTGTGGGGTCTATTCCGGAGACTATGTACAGATGTGTTTCTGGGGCTAGCAAAATTATCACTGAGTACAAGAAGCAACCTGTTTCGGGTCCTAGGGAGCTTACTTCTGAGATGCAACGCTCCTTTGATGAAACTGATAAACTCAAAAAGGGAGGCAATAAGGGAGATAAGAAGAAGGAGATAAGAAGAAAGGGGTTCCAGAAGGTCCATCTTCCCAAGATCCAACCCCTAAGAAGCGAAAGACTCAAGGTGCAGCTCCTTCGGCTCCAAAGAGGCAAAAGCTCAGAAAGATGACACTGAAGCCCAACTCATCTTCAAGAAGCGATACTGAGTACGTTCCTTCTGATACAGCTAAAGTAGAATCAAGCGAAAGCGACAGTTCTCAATCTGCGAGTTCGCTTCGTGGTGATTCGCCTCCACCTACTCCACATCAAGAGGTACCTTTAAATGATTATGTTGCAACTCCACCTCCTTCTCCTACTCACACTACTATTCCTATTACCATCGCTCCTTGCCCACCCCCAATTTCATCTTAACCACCACCAGTTTCTTCTCAACAACAAACAAGCATTCCTATTTCCATCCCAGTCTTCACTAATTTAACAGTAGCTCCTACCATCTCCATCCCACCTTTCGTTTCGATCAACATATCTGATACGGGGGCTCAAACTTCAGGTTTCTCCAATCATGTTTCACCTCCCATTTCCCCTCTTAACCGTAATGACCCAGACATGGTCTTTTGTGATGACGAAGATGAAGATCTTAGGGGTTTTACTTACAGTCCCTTCCAAATCCGGACTGAGAGTGAAGACAAGGTGCAAGTCACGAAAGGGAAACTCCATTCCCTACATGAAAAGGTTCACCAACTGATTCTCTCTAACAAAGCTTCCTCTACGGATGCATACACCAAAGCAGCTGTTAAGTCTCTCTTTGAGCGAATCATGAAGCAACACTCAACTACTGTTGCAACATCAAATAAAGATGTCGCCGATTCTGCTGAGGTTTGCAAGTCAACGACCGAAAAATTCGATAAACTAATTGAAGAAACTAACTCTTTCATGGAGAAATTTCAAACCACTTTCAATTCTAACACCACATCAGCAAATGAAGCATTGAAGAGTATGGGCTCTCTCTTCAGGACTGAGAAGACGAAACTCCAAGAGATTTGTACTGGTGTTAAAACTGACCATGAATCATTTCAAGCCACTATCTCGTCTCAGCTTTCTCAGCTTAAAGACGAACTGGTAAAGGAGAGTACCCTCAAGGACTCTCTCGCTCTCAAGTCAGAAGAAGCCAAGGTGTTAAGCACCAAACTCGAAGCTTCGGAGAAGCAGGTCCATGATCTGTTATCTGAGAGGTCAGTCATGCGAAGCAGTATAACTGATGTTACTGGCATGCTCCCGGATATCATTGAGACCAGGGACTCCATGATCACCATCACCATGCGTAAGCATCTGGCAGAAAAGTTAAGACCAGTCTTCGCCATGCTTCACCGCCTTGAAGGTGTTTCTGATCAATCCTTTCATCCGAAACAAGGGGAGAAAGTGTGGCTGGTGGATCAAGAAAAGAAGGACCTAAAGCTCCTATCAAGCCTATTGAAAAGAATGAACCCAAAGGGAAGGAAAAGCTGTCCCGTGACGACCCAATAATTGATAATGAAGACGAAGAAGAGCGACTGAAGAAGAACTGAAAAGACGAAAAGTTCGTGAAGCTGAACTGGATGAGCACCAGCAAATCATCCGTGAAGCTGAAGAAAAAGAAAGGGCTGAGAAAGAATCATAGGCTACTCTTCAGAGCAAAAAGCTCTTGTTCCCCAAATGGACCCTGAAGCGAATCCAACGCGATGTTGTTGATCTTCCAAGCCAGTATTGGTTGGAACCAATAGTTTTGTTTGATCTTCAAAACGCACGAGACTCACAACTGGATCTTCCAATTACTCGAAAAGCCTTCAGATTTCGTTCTTTTGTTAAAGTGGCCAACGCTCCATTTACAGACAGCGGAGATGATCATATGTTATTCGCGTTTTATCTGAAGCATATGAAGCCACAATAAGAAACCTGGTCATTGAGCAAAAATACCAGTGTAAAGGTTACAGGGCCGATCGAGACTGATAGCTTTCCGAATGCAAAGTTTAAAGTGGCAAGAGGTTCAGCCAGCCAATGCTACGAGTTTACTCTCGTAGATCTTCCATGCCTTAACCCATATGACAGGTTCATTCTTTACAATATATTGCTGACGGACAAAGAAAAATATGAACCTGTCATGTCTCATCTCAAGCACATGATAAAGTCCTATATTCAGGAGATTGGGGAGATGGATGTTGAACTTGCTGGTGTCTTGCAAAAGAAGCCTTCTGCTATTCTTAAAAGAAACTCCTAAGGATTTTGAAAAGTTAAAGCCCGGGAAACTTTAAAGTGAAGATTGGTTTGTGGTTTATTCTGCTAGGGAATGAACTGGAGCAGACTTTTGCAAAGGAGCCTTCTATCTTTCTAATAAGAATCTCTATACCACAACCTTCCTTGAGTACATTTTGGAGCAGGTGAGCAAGTTCAAGGGAAACAACAAAGATTATATCAAGTACTTCTCATATATGGTTATATGGTACATTGAGGTTCGCCAAGCAATTTATGCTATGATTCCGAAGGTGTATGATGTGCAGAAGAGAATCCAAGGCTGAAGGGTTCGGGCCTCAATTGACGCAAAGGGGGAGATTGTTGGGTATTCTGTGTTGCGTCATTGGGATTATCAGTTAAATATTTGTATTATCGAGTTGGACTGTCCACTCGTTATTAAGTCTAGGGTTAGAGTACTTAAGGTGCATGCATGCATCGTATTTTGGTAACTCTTATCTTTTACTTTGTAACCCTAATCACGCCTCTACAGTAGCAATTCCTCATAGAGTTATTCTGAGGCGTGACTTTCAATCATTCGACACTTTGTTGATTTATTTTGTGTTCTTACTTCACTTCGTGTTCATATTATACTTGTTCAGAATCTATTCGATCTATAAGGATTTTATTCTTATCAAGAATGTCAAGTGTTGGACCATGAATAAATTATTGGGCCTTAAGGCAAGACCATGTAGAGGTTTGGGCCCAATTTGGAAAATTGGACCATAGTTGGGCCTTAGTTCATTATTAGACTTTTGGTCCTTTGGATTAGGCCTTGGGCTTAAGTCAAGCTAAGTTAGGGCTAAAGTAGTCTTTTACCCCGATCATGGACTGATGGATATGTGTTGGGACCCAATTATTAATTGGGTGTTATTTTGATGTTGACAGTTCATGAATCTATCATCCAACAGCTAGAGTTTTGTCCGCGGGACTTCAGCAGTATGAGGTGGGTCCTTTTCCATTAGGAACGAGTCTAAGGCACCAAGGCCGGCCCGTTTAGTTAGTAGTAGTTCCGGACTACAGTCCGATGTCGGGCGGGGCCCGATGCAGGTTTATATGCTTTTCCGGATTTCGATCCGATGTCGGGTTAAGCCCAAGGAATGTTTGTATGCTTGATTTCTCCGTGATTCTTGCATGTGTCTGTTGTATGTTTTCGGACTTCGGTCCGATGCCGGGCGGGGCCCAAGGAATGTTTATATGTTTATGTTATGTGTTTATGTTTATATGTATATGTTGATATGCTTATGCATACCGAGCTTTGCTCGATGCCTGACTTCGATTCGATGTCGGGCGGGGCCCGATGTAGTGGGCTAGGCCCAAGTTATGTTAATGTTACATGTATGTTATATGCTTGATGATATGTTATATGTATACCGGACTTTGGTTCGATGTCGGGCGGGGCCCGATGGCCGATGCGGCCGGGTGCTGGGTGGGGCCGATGTCGGGAGGGGCCCGATGTAGCGGGCGAGGCCCAATGTGATGTTATATGTATATGATTATGTGATTATGTTTTTGTAATTGTTCATTGATCATGTGTATACCGAGCTTTGCTCGATACCGGGCGGGGCCCGATGTAGCAGGCGAGGCCTAATGTGATGTTATATGTTTATGTAATTGTTGATTGATCATGTGTATATCGAGCTTTGCTTGATGCCGGGCGGGGCACACAATGTGTTTGTGTGACATGTGTATGGTATGTGGTAGATTGGGGAGACTCACTAAGCTTCGTGCTTACAGTTTTCAGTTTTTGTTTCAGGTACCTTGGTTTTCAAAAGAGGATCTCGGGATGATTGCAGTGCACACACCATGTGTTTAGCCTTGGATGTTATACTCTGATATATTTTGACAGATGTTATGATATTTTGAGATACATGATTTATGACTTTTATATGATGGATGATATTTACGGTTTTATTAATGATTTAAAAATGAAATTTTTGGACTGTATTTTTGAGATGTTTAAAAACGGGCCCCACCCACATACAATAACATATATCAAATAACCACATACACATGCAACAATCACATAGATACATACATACAAATATTCATCGGGCCCCGCCCGGCATCGAGCTTTAGCACGGAAAACATATAAACACATACACATGCAAGAGTCACGAAAACAGCTACCATACCAACATAACAGAAACATGGGCCAGCATTGTTTCCTTCGACCCGCTAATCCCGGTAAGGAAACTCACCTCGCACTGCTGAAGCACTCGGAAAGAAATCCCTAGCTGCTGGCTGACAGGTCCCCGAATTGTCAATCAAAACAACACCCAATTAACAATTGGGTTCCAATCCATAACCACAACTTTATACCTGGGGTAAAGAGACCATTTTACCCCTAACCTAGCCTTGCCCAAAACCATGACCCAAACTACACTCTGAAAGGCTTAAAGGCCCACTAATCAACCAATGGCCTAATTTTCAAAATTGGGCCCTAACCCCCTATGGTCCTTATCCTAAGCCTATAATTCCCTTAATTTCAATTCAGATTACCTCAAGTACCCCTTGGGACAAACTTGTTCAATGACATAAATCGAAATTCAAATTCAACGGTCCAAATTGACCCAACTCGCCGAGTTGACCTTCAACTCGTCGAGTTTCTTCTATAACTGATCAGATCGGGAAAAACCAGGTGAACTCGCCGAGTTGACCAACAAACTCGTTGAGTTCCCCCAAGAACCAACATCTTAATGCATTAAGTTGCCTTCATCGAATCCAAGAGCTCCAAAGCTCATATCTCGACCAAAATGAGATCAAGAAGGGTAAAGTTTCCAACTTTACCCCTAGGGAACCACCCAAATGAATCCAAAACCAAACCCTAGACTTAAAAGAGTGAGGGCTTAATCCTTAAGCACTTAATCATCAAAGACAAGACCCCAAAATGCAGATCTGACCCCATAAGGTTAGATGGCCATGTAAAGTTTCCAACTTTACGCTTAAGAATGACTAGGAGGAACTCAAAAGCTCAAAGAGGGCTAAAAGAAAGACTTAATGAATGCATGAAGTCCCTTAATCCATAAAGTTGGCACCTTTATGCCAAAAGAGCTCATGAAGATCATAGATCTGAAAGAATAAACACTTAGGACTTCAACTTCCCCAACAACCACCCATCCATGGCTAAAAGCATACAATCTAACCCAAGAAGAGATCTAAGCATATATTAAGCAAGATTAGAACTTTATACCCGAAATGTGATGTAAATGGACCAGAGAATCAAGATCTGAAAGCTCCTACTTGAACCACCACCTTGCACCAAGCTTCTCTTCCTTCAATGAGCTTCAAACACACCCACAATGAGCTCACAACACTCAAGGAGGGTCTAGGGTTCCGAGATTAGGGTTAGGGGCTATGGAGGTTGGGAATGAGGCCAACACCTGGGAATTAAGGTGTTTAATTAGGGTGAAAAACCCTAAAATTAGGGTTTCTCAATCAGCGTCCAACTCATCGAGTTCCCTTCACCAACTCGTCGAGTTGGTCCATAAAATGTGCGACCCAAAAGCCTCCAACACGTCAAGTTCCCACCATCAACTCGTCGAGTTGGTCCCTAGGAAAGGGAATTTATTTCCACAATTAACCTTCCAGATTCCGGGTGTTACACCTGCACACTAGCATAATCATACACTGTATCCTCACTTCCTAAAGGAAGACTGAACATAAAGCAACTGACCGGCTGACCCCACATAACTCATCCTCACACTAACTGTCACACGACCCTCCATTGGTGTCAAATAACTATTGCATGAATACAATCACATGCCGCACAACTTAAACAATCCTAGACTAAAAGATTCAATCCTACAACTGTTGGACTCGGACAAGATCTACGCAGCAATACCAAATCCCTTACCCTAAGATCGTTTAAACCATGAAGCATGTGACTTAGCGTACTCTCTCAATAGTCAGTTCACACACAAAAGATTCTCACAACAATCAATCAAGTATTTTATCAGAGATAAGGCATCATATATCAGGCAATTCTATCATGCAAATTCCTGAAGATCCCTAGCCTATCACTAGAATGTTGTTCTAACATCTCACAATATCAAATAATAGTGTTTTACTTTGGGGTCTACTTATTGGATCTGTCTGATCGTACACATCGCATCATCCTTGATTATTTTGAAAACCATTTGAAAATTGTTTTAAAATCCTTTTTCCTTAGTTTGAGATTGGATTCACACGAGTGTTCGTCCAATTCAATCAAACCAAGGCTCTGATACCAACTTGTAACATCTATAAAAATCACGAAA